AAAGTATTTAAGGATAGTCGCCGGTGCAACGGAGTTCGTGCACTGCGATGACTCAGGCTTGAGTTAGAAGTAGAACAGCGCACTTATGGGTTACACCTGTGTGCAATGATGTTGATCCGTTGAATGAACCAATAAACCAATGACAATGAAAGGAGAATTAAAAGCGACTGACGTGTTATGATCACATCACTTACCGAGTGCTGACTTCTTCTTCAAAATTCCGAGCCCTTGAGGTTCATTGCTGCAGATATCACCCGCCTCCATTCATCTCTCTGGTTGCCCTTCTCTTTCCTGTTGGTGACACCAAGTGTTTGCAGGTCTGTCTGGACACTATCTCTCCATCTCTTCTTGGGCTGCCTCGTTGTCTATGACCATTCATCTTCCTTGGGTATATAGTTTTACTTCTCTGCCAACTGACACTCTATTAATACGCCGCAACCATTTCAGTCTATTAGCTTTCATGGTGACAATGATCAGTGGTGATTTAAACAGATGAATTTGATTATTGCTTCTCACTCTCCATTCCCCGCTGTTTGCATCTTTGATGGGTCAAAAGATTTGTAGTAAAACTGTTTTCAAAAACTTGTAATAAGTCTTCATCTCTTTCAGTTGTGCTCCAAGTTTCAGAGTGCTGATTGGTTTGTTAAAATATGGTCTAAAAACTTATGCCGGAAACCGGAGTGTTTTGAAAAGGGTGCTTCCCCATGTATGAGAGACACATCTCAGACTACAGAATAGCTACTCTCTTGTAGAATTTTTACCCTCTGGTGTTGGAACTTAAAAAAAAAATGCAGCTAGTAACTTAAAAAAAAAAAAAAGTATTCAGATGCGTTCGAATGAATCCAGCACCGTGTGACTTACTTATAACAGTCCCGTCAAAACCACACCCCACCCGATCCCTCATATGCAAATATTGGCAGGAAGAGACATCTATTAAAGCAGACACGAACCGTCACCGGTTTCATTTCCGGAATGTCGCAGGGTTTGCAGAGGCCGGCTTGTCAGGAGATACATGGGTCAAACAACCGCTGTCCTTTAAGATAGCGTTGTGCTTGTACTAACCCGGAGACCTTCTTGTGCCTTGCGTGTTGAGTTGACTTGAGTAGTCAAGAACTGACATCACAGCACTCGGGGCATTCCCATGCATGCTCCGTCCTCATCTTCAGCAGCGAGCGCAGAGTTCTAATACTGATGTTACCGGTCACAATCCGGTTAAAAATGCGTCTTGCCTTTCCTCTGAGTGTAGTAAGCCGGCCAGACCCTTTGGTTACACCCAGGTACCTCATTCTCTCCAGGTCATCATAATCTTCTTTCTCTACTGATTCCGTTGCTTGTTGACCACATCTGCCTTGTCATTTATCAATTTACAATCCAGTGGTGCGGATCACGCCAATCTGTCTGCCTATCTATTACCCACCGCGCCGGTATAGCCTGGAGAAATGATCCAAAGTGTGCCTTTAGTGTTTGACAGTTCACAAGTCACCCTACCAGCACTTCTCCAAATTCCCGATTCGTTCTCTATTTTCTATACGCAGGTGTGGAAAAGAAAGAACTTTTTGAGGATTTGAAATATCATCATCATCACTGTGTGCCTCTGTGGTCAGAAAAATACCTGAATCGACCCCCCCCCCCCCCTCCCGAATTCCATTCTATTGCGGCTGCAGCTACTACTACTACTACTACTACTACTACTACTACTACTACTACTACTACTACTACTACTACTACTACTACTACTACCAACATCACCACCACCATTACTACTACTACTAATACTACTACAACGACAATTACTACTAACTACTAATACTACCTACTACTACTACCTAACAACTACTATTACTACTACTAAAACTACTACTAATACTGCTGATGCCACTACTACTACTACTACTACTACTACTACTACTACTACTACTACTACTACTACTACATCTACTACTACTACTACTACTACTACTACTACTACTACTACTACTACTACTACTACTACTACTACTACTACAACAACTACTACTACTACTACTACTACTACTACTACTACTACTACTACGACTAATGCAACTGTTATTTTGAGGCGGATGCAATTTAACTTCGAAGGAAGCTCACCGATTAGTCGACTCTTATGGCGTGTTTGTTTGGGAGGCAGTGGGTTTATTTTTGTTTTCCCCCACACGGAACCAACATGGGCAATTAAACAGTTCACAGCTCAGATCTGAACCCATTCTCTCTCTCTCTCTCTCTCTCTCTCTTTCTCTTTCTCTCTCTCTCTTTCTTCCTCTCTCTCTCTCTCTTTCTCTTTCTCTTTCTCCCTCTCTCTCTCTCTCTTTCTCCCTCTCTCTCTCTCTTCTCTCTCTGTCTCTTTCTCCCTCTCTCTCTCTCTCTTTCTCCCTCTCTCTTTCTCCCTCTCTCTTTCTCTCTCCCTCCCTCTATATATATATATATATATATATATATATATATATATATATATATATATAGCAGTCACGAAAAAAAAAGTTCAAAGCCTGTCTTCGCAAATAACATTGTCTGAAAGCGAGAAAATGTTTTTATGTGATGACAGAGACGATGTGGAATCTTTTTTTTTTTTTTCAACCAAACAGCTTAGCTTATATAAACCATAGGAAACTGAAATAATTATCCTGGATGAAGCTGAATTGTTTTCTTATTACCATTTCAACGTCATGGTTGTTTTGGTCTTGTCTAGATGCCTCCAAATTACCTAGGGTGTGGTCTTCTTATTCTTCTGACAACTTTGGTATTTTCTTCAGTGTTTCCCTGTGAGTGAAGGGTTATCTTTCTTGCCTGCAGAGACATCTGGATCCCAGCAAGGGCAATACGATATTATATCATTAAATGCGTTGTCTGGTTTTGTTTTGTGCATTTTATATTTCGTGTTTTGTCTAAGCTGAAAATAATATTATCGTTTGCTTGAGTTGTTTATTATGACCTGTTGCAGAAGACAACTCCTCATTGATGGATTGGTGGCAGGGTCTTGTATTTATTATTTCTAGGCAATGTAAAGTCGGCTCTGTGGCTAAGTCGATGCGAACGCTTCGTAATGCCGGGATGCCAGGTTCGATCCCAGCTGCGGGCCATGCACCTTGCTTTAGTTTCGACAGTAGTATCAAAAACGCCGACCGTCCAGGGGCAATAGAAAACTACTAGACGTAAATTTGCCTAGAAAACCACACAACAGCCAGGGGTTGTTGGGGTTGGTTCTTCAACGTTCTGTAAAGGATACGCAACTAACCTTGGGCAATGTAAAGCATCAGAAAAACACGGCCAAACAACCGTACAATTTTCAAAGATGAGTAAAACCTAACATTTCTTTAACAGTGACACAGAAGAAGGTTTTAACAAAACAACCAACGATGTACAATTTAAGAATAACGAATGTTCCTTAGAAAAAAAGTTACTTTACCATCACAAGTGTTTTGTAAAAAAAAAAAAAACTAAATAAGGTTTTGTTAAACTCAAAAGTCTTGAGTCAAGAGACGCACATATTGCAACCTTAAAAATGTAAACTATAAGTTAATGAGCGAACCATCATTTCAAGAGTGAAGAAGAAGAGGAAGAAATTATTTCTCGTGATAATTAGGGGTGATTTTTACACAAAACTCTTTTTTGGGGTTAAAATGTGTGTTTATCTCTTCAGATGTCGATATCTCTTTCCGTTGTTGACAATATTTCCCCATATTTGGATACAGCTGCTAGGCAGTAAAACAAGAGCCGAATGCTAGTCATGAGAATAACACCGGGACAATCAGCGCTCATGAAACACGAAAACAGTTTCATTTCGATTATTGTAGAGCTGTTGTGTAAAAACTTGCTCACTAAAAACCAGGTCTTATTCTTCTTCTTCGATCTTTCTGTCCGAAAACTTTTGTCAGGAGGCCAGTACTTGATAAAAGCTATACTGGGATAAACCAACTGAAATGTGGGATTGTATTTTCCCATTTTTAATGCCATGCAGAAAAGCAACAGTATTTTCCAATCTGTTTTGGCTAAGAAGAGAGGCAAATACACTATCATCAGGCGAAAAAAATGTATATCGTAAGCAGAACTGTAAATAAACTATCACATCAGAGACATGACAGCGACTAGACGCTCGCGTGCGGATCGGAGGGTCGTGGGTTCTCCACTTGGCGGAGCTGGACTTTTTTTCAATGACCTAGACTCCTAGGTCGACCCAGCTTTGAGTGGGTACCGGGTGGAGCCCCGGAAGGTAAATGCGGCCGGTGTGATGCTGACCACATCATCCACCTATTGGTCTATAAAAATATAGGTCTAACCCTATATAGGTCTAGACCTATATGCCCTATGTGCCTAAAGGTGTGGAAAAAGGACCTTTACTTTTTTCTTTTAAATAAACTTTCACATCCCTCTGTTATCTGAGTCTGGAAGAACAAATGTGCAACACGGTCTAATGGAGGTACTAATCTGGTATCTTGATCTATTTACTGCCTGGCGATAACCATCTCTTGATCTTCTTCTTTTTGTTCGCGTTTACAGGCTGAAAACTCCGGTGGAATGTTCTCGGTGTTCGTCTATCTCTGGACTTCTGTCTTGCTTCAGAACCTGTTCCGTGCATATCCGTTTCACAGATCTGATTTATTTGTATGCAGACTTGTGGTTCCTTGGCTCTCAGGCAGATGTACTCCAGCTCGAAGGAGGTGCCCAGTTAGTTGACTCCTATGACATGCTTGTTGAGGAGGCAGAAGGTCTATTCTTGTTTCCTCCACTAAGGGGCCCCAAAACCCACACTGGGAAGTCTCTTTATAAACCTCATAGATTGTGACCCATGTCTTTTCAGGACTCATACTTCCGGAATGCTAATCTTTCGTATTTAAGAGTCAAACCTGTCTCTCCAGACAACTCACTAACAGACCACTTAGCCAGCCAGTATGCTAGCTAGCCAATCAGCCAACCAAGCAACTAACCAGCGAACCAATGAACACATTGTCGGATCAACATCTATAGAAATGACCTCCACCTACCTTAGTATATCGCTGGGCGTATGATCCGGTGAGCAGTGAGTGGAAGATTATAATGGTCTCATCCAGGTCCCAGACGAACACTCGTTCAAGGTCGGACTCTGGCCCAGGGGACGGCTGAGTTCGACTTCTGCCTCTAGGTCTGGGAACTCGCCCTGAAACAGTTACCAGTGATGAGATACACGCTTTAAACAGTTACCAGTGATGAGATACACGCTTTAAACAGTTACCAGTGATGAGATACTCGCTTTAAACAGATACCAGCGATGAGATACACGCTTTAAACAGTTACCAGTGATGAGATTCACGCTTTAAACAGTCCCAACAACATGGCTAATGAGGACAAAGTTAAGAGAGAAGTATTTATTGTTAAGTATCCATTATTCGTCGTTATCAGAGGTCGTCAACACTATCTCCCACATCTTCAGTGCAGACCTTGCCAGGCCCATCTCTTGATGTTCCCCAGGCATACGTAATGCCGTTATGACTGTTTTCCTTGTTGACCATAGGGTTTCCTGTTCACAGGAAGCGTGTCTCAATGTATGATGGAAGAATGATGATTTCCACCTAAATATAGTTAACAGTTTCACTATATCTAGACAGAACAATTATCTCAGACAATGTCTGTTTGAAGCCAGTCAGTTATAAATATATACATATTGGAATAAAGCGTCACCGTCTATGGAATAAACAGATCGCCATTGCAATATTTTCAGTCTTCACTTCTGCCAATTGATCATGAGAAATGAGAAACATAAGTGCCAAAATAATGGACAAACTGCTCTTTGTAGGCATGGCTTGAGAACTCCTACAGGATTTAAGAACGCGGTCTGGTAAAACTCTAAAGACGCCTCGGGTGATACAGATAAGGCTGGGTAAGCGGACAGAGAAGTGAAGCAAGAAAAGAAGATGCAGACCAAGAAAGGCCTAGATGAAATGTATCCTGCAAAATGGAATTAATCTCCATAAATAGAGCGCGCATATAGCGGGACCTGGCTGCCTATTGAAGGGAATGCTAGAAGGCAATAAACATTTATTTATTGGGAGATTTCCAGGAGATACCTGTTTGCTCTACTTTCAAACCTAATATCTCCAGATTTAGGTCCCACTGTGGCAGTTCTTTAATGCTCTTAAACAGGAGAATTCAATCTAGACTTAAATGGCGGCATCTCTACACAGATACACACTCACAAACTAACATACATGCATACATAATATACTTATCTACAGACGTAAACACGTACATAAATAGCGGTTGCAGTTAAAAGTATCTGATTAAAGATTGAAAAGATTCGATAAAAATCAAATGATGACTGAGGGTACTACGAGATGAAAATATACAGCTTGAAACAAAGACGATAGACAGTTTTCCAAACTGACTCAATAATTACCATTTTCTTTCAATGGCGGTGAAGGGCTAGCCAGCTGGTTGTATGTGGCGTCCAGCACTGGGGACGAGGAGACAACAAACTCAGATGAGAACCTCAACATTCTTTCTTCTATTCGACAACAAAAAGAAAGATAAAAAAAGAGGTTAAACTAGTCTCATGGTAGTTAATGCCCTAATGAAATGTTAGGCCTGTATATAGACACACCGGCAGGGACATAATGTGTGCTGGTCAGTTGCTTGCTTAATCTCGCTTAATTATAATCTAGAATTTTCATAGAGTAAATGACGTTTAAAAAAGCCCCGAAAACTTGTTATGTAATAACCTAAACACCACTAAAACTATTACTGAAAGAACCTTTTGGTTTTAGTCGTGGCAAGTCTTTACTTCAGACAATAATTAGCCGTTGCATTGTTCTCTAAACATAGACTGAAACTAAACTGCTCTGTCGTCGAGCTGAGGTGAATGCATGGCATGACAATGTCAACCGCGAATTGTATTTGAAATGTCTTTAGACGTTACCCAACACGTTTTGTGTTGTGAACTGCAGTTTTAGAGAATAAAGAGTGGCCTGTTGTCAGAGAACTGGTGGTGCCTTATGGGATTATTTGCGCATGCAACTCCTGATCCATTGTAAGTGATGCTTCCATTGACATTGAACTGCATTTCTAGTGCATGCCTGTTTGTGTTGGCACTTCTGAACGCTGCCGTATGTATTTATTGTGTGTGTGTGCTCTATTGAATCAGTAGAAATTGCAGTCTGTCTAAATTATTTCACCAGGGCAGTGACGGACTTGTTCTGTGCTTTTCTTTGTCATAGGGACGCAACAACAATGAAGTAACCTGTTTGCTATGGGGAAAAACACAGATGTGGCTGTGTCTGTATTGTACTCCTTTCGTTTTTTTCTTTAAACTTCAAACTAAAGTCTAGATTGTTTTGTCTGATCAGTATGGCTCTGGTGCCTAACCAGTGTGACATCAACTCAGTGTAATGTCAAACCAGTGTGACGAGAACTCAGTCTGATGTCGAACCAATGTGAGGACAACTCAGTGTGATGTCGAACCAGTGTGACGACATCTCAGTGTGATGTCGAACCAGTGTGACGAAAACTCAGTTCAATATCGAACCGGTTTGACGATAACTCAGTGTAATATCGAACAGTTTTGACGAAAACTCAGTGTAATGTCGAGCCAGTGTGACGACTTCTGAATGCAATGTCGAATCAGTGAGATGTCAACTCTGTGTGATGTCGAACCAGTGTGACGTCTTCTCGGTGTGATGTCGAATAAGTGGGATGTCAATTCAGTGTGATGTCGAATCAGTGTGTCCACAGCTCAATGCAATGTCGAATCAGTGTGACCACAACTCAATGCAATGTCGAATCAGTGAGATGTCAACTTATTGTAATGTCAAGCCTATGTGATGTCGACTCACTGAGATGTCGAATCGAAACCCAGTGTGATTTCAGCTCCGTGTCCTGTCGAACCAGTGTGACGTTGACTTATTGTAATGTTAAGTCAGTGTAATGTCGAACCAGTGTGACGTTACTTATTGTAATGTTGAGTCAGTGTAATGTCGAACCAGTGCGATGTCAACTCAGTGCCATGTCCAAACTGTGACGTCAACTCAAAGCGATGTCGAGCCAGTTTGATGTCAACTGAATATTACGTCGAACCGAACTGCAGTGCGATGTCAGCTCAATGTGTTATCGATACAATGTGATGTCAGCTCATTCTAATGTTTGATGTCTGCTCAGTGTCATGTCGAATCACTGTCAACTAAATGTGATGTGGAAAGAGTGTGATGTCAACTCAATGATATCTTAGCTCTATGTCATGTCGATCCAGTGTGATGTCAACTCAATGTAATCATGAGCCAGTGTGATTCCGCTTAATGTCATGTCGAAAGAATGTGATGTCAAGTCAGTGTATTGTGGAACAAGTGTGATATCAACTCAATGTGACGTCGAACCACTGTGATGTCAACTCTGTGCCATGTTGAGCAGTGGGATTTTATCTCAATGTGACGCCGAGCTAGTGTAATGTTAGCTGAATGCCATGTCGAGCCAGTGGGATTTTATTTCAATGTGACGCCGAGCTAGTTTAATGTTAGCTGAATGCCAAGTCGAGCCAGTGGGATTTTATCTCAATGTGACGCCGAGCTAGTGTAATGTTAGCTAAATGCCATGTCGAGAGGGTGTAAGATCAGTGCGATCTTGAACAGTACCATGTCAACTCGTGTGATGTTGATCCTGTGTGATTCAGCTTAATGTCACGTTGAACAAGTGTGATGTCGAACAAATGTGATGTCAACTGGATGTGATGTTCCTTCAATGCGAGGTGGAACCACTGTGATATCAACTCAATGTAGGGTCGAGTCTGTGTGATGTAGAAATAGTGTGATGTAAGCTCGATGTGGTGTCCAATATGCAATGTCACTTCAGTGTGATGTCAACTCAGTGTAATGTCCAAACTGTGATACCAACTTATTGTGACGTCAAACGTGTGTTTGCAACTCAGTGTGACGTCAAACCTGTGAAGTAATCGCAATGTAGTGTTGAACCAGTAGAATGTCAACTCAGTGTAATGTCGAACCTGTGATGTCAGCTCAATGTGATATCAGCTCAGTGAGATATTGAGCCTGTGATATCAACTCTTATGTCGAACCTTTGATGTTATCTTAGTGTCATGTCAAACCTTCGATATTAACTCAGTGTGATATCGAACCAGAGTCAGTTCCACGATAATCTCCCCACGTTACACAATAACTCACTTCTGATTGGTCGACATCCAGTCACCCGACCTTCGCACACTGCTAGGGGAGTGTTCGGCAATGTGTTTGATATCGCGCGTTGTAAATTTAAGCACGCCAGCGTTTTATCACTACAAAAACATTTCGGAACTGGGTCTAACCATCAGTCCCCCTAGAGAGGGCTGCAACCTATTTCACATGCATTCTCTTTCTCAGAAGAAAAACGTAAATGCAAGACAAGCCAGAAAGTAAAGAACATAGCCCCAACCCCCTCCCCCACCCCTTAGAACAGCAGACGTCTAAAAATGTATCAATGGAACGTGACCTAGTTCGGCTGGGAAGATTATCGTAGAACTAACTCGAGCCAGTGTGATTTAGTTCAAGGTCACGTCAAACCAGCACACTTGGTCAACAACTTACTGGGTCGTCATTATATTGGGTCGACATAATAATACTCCATCGATATCACACTGCCTCGACATTACACTAAGTCGACTTTGCACTGGTTCTACACAAACTGAGTCGACACCAGAGTCATTCTAGTGGGACAAAATAATCCGGCTTCTGTTGCAGACTGGACCTTGACCAATATCTTGTTCATTCAGCGCACTAACCACTATTCCACTACAGAGCCAGAACGTCTGATACTGGTGAGAAACGTTACTAGAACAGTACATACAACTTTTTATCGAATTTGAATACAAAAACTGTTAATTGTCTAGCAATGTAATGATGACGGTTACCAAACAGCTTTTAGTATATCACGTTATTTATCAGAAAAGGGAAAGTCAACGAGGAAGGAATCTGACTTCCTGACATCATTTGTGTCCTAGAATTCGTAAATGCCCAATAATTCCCACCGCAGGGACAATATCTGCTGCAGCACTGGTTCACGCGTGGTGTACTGATCCGCTCAGCAAACTTAACGGCTTCGTGATCTCATTAGAAAATGGTAATTATTAAGTAACATTTTTTTTTTGTGGTAGCGCTCTTATTATATATATATATATATATGTATATATATATATAATATATATATATATATATATATATATATATATATATATATATATATATAATATATATTATTTTGTTTGTTTAATATGACTATTAAAAGGTGAGAAGGGTGTGGTGGGAGGTGGGGAGGGGGGGGGGGGGGAGTTGGTGGTGTCCGTGGAAGACCTTCAAAAATAAGGTCAGTCCGTAGGTTTTGTGTAACTGGGAGCCACTGCGTTAGAAGACTTGTCATATCTGCATACACGAAAAGAGCCGACGACTAGCACAGTGACGTTTTTGTGCTGCCTCCTGTACAGCAAGCAATTCGTGTAGTAAAAGAAAACTGTCTCGGTCATATGGTTCAGAGTCATGAAAGAATCATCAGGACGGCCCTCGGCAAAAGTCGGGATTCATATTTCTCATTATTTTGTTTAAATTTCCTATTTTTACCGCTATATTCAAACACTGTACCCAGTACGATCTGTAATCAGACATTTTGGTCACTGCGAATATAGGTCGCCTTTACTGTATGGGGGGAGAGGTGTGTGGTGGTTTGGGGGGTGTGGGGTGGTTTGGGGGGTGTGGGGTGGTTTGGGGGATGTGGGTGATTGGGGGGGGGAGGGGGAGGTTGTGGGGTGAGTTGACATAGATGAATAGTTTAGACAATGATGATAAAGGTTTTGATGAAGACAATGTTGATGGAGACAGTGATGAGGACATTGATGATGAAGATAGTGATGAGGACATTGATGATGAAGATAGTGATGAGGACATTGATGATGAACATAGTGATGAGGACATTGATGATGAAGATAGTGATGAGGACACTGATGATGAAGATAGTGATGAGGACACTGATTATAAAGATAGTGATGAGGACACAGATGATGAAGATATTGATTGGGACACTGATAATAAAGATAATGATGAGGTCACTGATGATGAAGATAGTGATGAGGACATTGATGATGAAGATAGTGATGAGGACAGTGATGATGAAGATAGTGATGGGGACATAATTGATGAAGATAGTGATGTGGATATTGATGATGAAGATTGTGATGAGGACAATAATGTTTGGGTAAAACAAATGATTTTGATGATAGTAGCTATATAAATTAAAATACAGTGATGACATTATTAATTGCCATGAAGATAATGATAATAGTGATGTTGTTGTTGGTGATGACGTTCACAGTTTTAATGCTGATATTTGTGATGATGATGACAATGCTGATAACACAAGTGATGATGATAATGATGATTTTTTAGCAGCTATTGGCGAAGATGAGGTGGTGATCCAAATGACACCTTTTAATGTCAGGGATGCTAATAATAGCGATGCTATTTGTGATTACTGTCAGCGGGGATGACGTAGATGGTAGATTTTGAAAATGCAAATTGTTACATTAACACAGATTACGATACTGACGACGTTTAAATGACGGTGCATGATTTGAGTTACGATGTTGATCGTGGTAATGGGGCTGATTATGATAATAGTGTTTATGATTTTGGCAGTAAAGTACGTCCTGAGACTGAAGACTGGTAGCACTGACGGCAAGTGCTTACCTGAGATGGCTGCTGCTGTTGCTGCTGCAGCCGGTGCATCTATGAGTTGGTAAGTCTGGTTTGAAGGCACATTAGATGTGGAGCTTACGGCAGAGTTGCTGGATATGTACGGGTACTGAGAATAGTAGTCTGTCGCCGAACTCCCATAGTTGTAGAAGCCGTTCTCCTAAAGAGGAAAACAGAAACAAGTAATTCCACAGCATATGATGGTGTCACAATTTTAATGTGTTTAAATTCCAGAGATTCTACCGCTACTGCTACTAATACTGCTACTACTACTACTGCAACTGCTACTGCTGTTGGTTCTTCTTCTTCTTCTTCTTCTTCTTCTTCTTCTTCTTCTTCTTCTTCTTCTTCTTCTTCTTCTTCTTCTTCTTCTTCTTCTTCTTCTTCTTCTTCTTCTTCTTCTTCTTCTTCTTCGCGTTCACCAGCTAAATACTCTGGCGGAAAGTTTTGGTTGCTCGTCCACTACTGAACTGCAGTCCTGCTCCAGAACCAGAGTGTTGCGTGTGCATAAGTTTTACAGATCTCATTCTCTTGAATACAGACTGTTGGTTCCTTGCCTCTCCGGCAGATGCACTCCAATTTCAAAGGAAGCTACCCAATTAGTCGACTCTTACGACATGCTTTTGGGGAGGCAGTGGGTCTATAATTGTTTTCCCCACAATGGGGCCCCGGAACCCACACGGGGGTCTTCTTCTTTTCTTCTTTTTCTTTGTTGGCGTTTGTACGGACGACTGGCAAATCTCACTGTTCTCTATAGCAAGACTCGCCGGTGTATCACCCGGGCCTTCATAGGAAACAAAACAAACAAATAGTAACACTGCACCCTACCATGCATGTCGTAAGAGGCGACTAAGAGTAGTGTTGGGCTCGGGGTTGGCTACCTCGTCCTGTAAAAACAATAGCCACAAAAACCAACCAACCATTGACAAGTCAAAAAGTCCTAGTAGAAGAAGTATGACACGGTGCAGAGAAAGCCGAAAGGAGTCCGGATCGTCGATGTACTTCCTTTTACCAGAATTGGCAATCGCAATGTTAGAAGTTAAAAAGATGGGGAGGACATGACGAGAGCTGCATGTGATAGCGAACGATCGAACGACGTGGCAGGAATTGGTTGAGGGCCTATGCTCCATTGGGGGTTAGAAGGCAGAAGAAGACTGCGCTAAGTACGATTTTCGGCCCAACACACATTATTCAATAAATCATTAATTAATAGCGTGATATCACGACAAGAGATTTTTCACTCATCTGTCTGCTTGTGAATATAAGGTGTTGAGTACTTGGGTCTGCTCTGAAGCCGCACTGTGCCTGATCCAACTGTGCTTCTGCCATACTACTCAGTCTCTGCTAGAGAATTCTAGAGTAACATTTACCAGGAACGCTGAGGAGAGATGTGCCTCTGTGGTTTTTACAACTGTCTGCTATCACCCTTTCTAAATATAGGTAGAATCTCCCACTCCTTTGGTATAGTCTTTAGGCCTGCCTTGAGAACCTTCAGGAGAAGTCGCCTAAGTTCCTCCTAAGATTCCTATATATTTGACAGTCTCTGGTGTTATAACATGTTCTGCTGCATTTCCCATTTTATTCTTCTGAATAGCTGCCTTCTGTTCCTCCATCCTGATGATATCACTCCCATTAATGAATTCCTTCTCTGAAATAGGTCCGTTATTTCTAGGAAATGACTTTTTCAACACCGAGGAGCTCTGAGAAGCATTCTTTCCATCTGTCCATATCATTTGTGATAAAAAGCAGAACCCCTCTCTTGTCTGTTGTGAATTTCAGCGGTATTCTTTCGCCTTCTTCATGTTTTTGAGTGTCTTGTTAAACAGTTTTTGATTTTCTCTTGACTTCTTTCCAACGTTTTTTTTTTTCTTCTTCAAATTCTTCTCATGATTTCTGTTTTGCATTAAGCACTATATTTGTGGCCTCTGTTCTGAGTGTCAAATACTACTTTTAATTTACTTTGCCATCATATTTGTTTGCATTAGCAAATAATAATAATACTAATAAAGATAATAAAACAATTATGTCGAATTATTTCTGTGCAAATAATAATATTATTAAAACAATAATTATGCCATTGCATTATTTTTGCGCACTTAAAAGGACATAATTTCCTTGAGCCCCCGACTCTAAGCGCCCCCCCCCCCTCCTTCCTACTTTTTTCACCCCACAAGATTTCTTGGTGGCGGCGTGCTCGCTGACTAGAACAGTCCGTCCGTGCAACAGCAATGTTGACTATCTTGTGCAACCTAATAGGGGATATCCCGACAGCCACCTGTCCCGTCAAGGCTGGAGAGAAAATCAATTAATCAACTGGAAGCCATTACCAGATAACTGCCGCGTGTCACTGTGACAACAGGTTCTGTAAATGGGGGGGGGGGGGGGGGGGGGAGATACAGACAGACAGGCAGACAGAAAGGAGGGGGAGGGGTGACATTCACTGGCAGGGTGGAGTGTACCCTAGACCAAGATCGGGGCTAATACTTGACACACAACCAACAAGGAAGCGCTCTACCCATCAACCACGAGAACGGATGGCAATGGATTGTCTGTCACAAGAGACTTCGTTTGTTTACTTGGAAAACTGCAACACAAATGGCCGTTAGAAGATAAGGAACCTCAAGGAAACCAAACGTTCATGGAGCACTTAGGCTTCATTCTTTTTCTTGTTCCTAGCATTAACCGGCTATAAATTGCAGGAGAAAATTATGTTTGTTCCTCCACTTCTCGACTGTGGTCTTGCTCCAGAAATTGCGTGTACATCCGTTTTACAGTTCTGGCATATCGTTTCGCGGACTGTTGGTTCCTTACACTTTCAAACAAATGCACCTCCACCTAGAGCGATTAGCGCTACCCGCAGTTACTTGACTAATACGACCGCTTGTGTAGTGGCTGTGGGTCTGTCCACCCCCTCTCTCCACACCCTAAATGGTACCCCAGAACCCGGATGGGAAAGGATTCATTGAACTTGGTTCAGTGCCAGACTGGCGATAGGTATGGTATGAGTGGATGTAAAGTACAGCGAGAGAGGGAGAGAGAGGGGGAGAGAGAGAGAGAGAGAGAGATAGAGAGACAGACAGACAGACAGGACAGACAGACAGACAGACAGACAGACAGACAGACAGACAGACAGACAGACAGATCCACGCCACTAACGAACAATGCCTCTGTCTTATGGTGATATTGAATGAAACACTGCATATTCTTATCCCTCATTAAGTTTAAGGAATTTTGATAATTTGACTTGCTTTATTCTTTTCTTTCGAGACCATCAACACTGAATGTGTTTCTACGTTCATTCACCGTCTAGAAGTTTTTAAATCACAAAAATCTTTGTATTTTTAGTCAAGAAATTATTGTGATGGGTCCATGTTCTCAGCAAATATATATATATTTCTTACATACACATAGACAGTTGTTACAAAGACAGACACAGCCTTCACATAGACAGACACACTTACATATGCTGAGACTGTGCTGGCCCCACCGTAAGACAGACTTGCTGGAGAACCTGCAATTGCCATAGAAAACACAGTATCCATTTCTGGTTTACCATAAATCTTTTTGATACAATACTCAGATCCGCTTAGATGCTTCCTCAACCCTTCCTAATGCAATATGTTTATATTATTTATCACTGATTATAATACCTCACTATATGTATTTCTTCCAGCCCAAGAATTTCACATCTGAAGGTAGTTCTTCAAACCGTTCAATTTGACACCTGAACATGCTTCTTTAATCCCTGCAACTTCATGCTCGAATGTCTTTCTTTAATCCGTGCAATTTGACACCTTTGTGTCGTTTTTCATCAATGAAAGCCTGGTTTTGACAGGTGCTAGAAAACACGAAAGTCGTCAGGCTTCTATAATTACATTCTCGCTTTTGTTTTAGTATATAATTATAAGTTTCACATCATATCAATCTATGGGGAGTGTGCATCCACACAGAAAGATGATCTATCACACCAGAACAGAGGAAGGCAAATGCTAGCATTACGGTACGAGGCAAACGCTGGCGTATGTGGATTAGGAGATATGAACGCACTTTTACAATCTGGACGTACCGGGACCTGTCGTTAAATGCAGGCGATTTGGCAGCAGACCTCTTTGTGTTACTTGTGACACAGGTATGCATTTTGTACTGATTATAGGCAACAGTAAACTAATAAAGGCAAACTTCCTTAGTAAACCCAGACAGTCAATGCATTTTAGTGGTTGATTTGGGAGATGGTGGGCATAGAATCTGACAGCCTGTCTACCAGCCATGAAACGTGATGACTGAAGGTGAAAGTGATGAATAAAGGCGATGATAATGAGTGAAGGTGAAGGTGATGAGTGAAGGTGATGATGATGAGTAAAGGTGATGATGAGTGAAGGTAATGATGATGAGTGAAGGTGATGATGATGAGTGAAGGTAATGATGATGAGTGAAGGTGATGATGATGAGTGAAGGTGATGCTTATCAGATCGTTGTGAACTATGTATTGCAGTAAATATATCTATCAGGGGCTTGTGAAAACCATGCTCTTCCTTCATTGATTTTTCATTAATTGTGCAGTCTCTTCCTCCATTTTGTCCTATCATGTGCAATCCCTTGGATATCCTGAATGGAACCTAGTCCAGCACCACCGGCTTCTCTCGTCAATGTTCGCCTCAGGTTTCTTTTGGATGTCCTGTTTCCTCAATCCCTCAATTTCACATTTCTCTGCCTGTTTAGTGATTTCCTCTCGTTTCTTTTCAAGAGGTATCCATCTTCTCTGGTTCATAACCGTTGTCTAGTGGCCGCATAGAAATTTGTCTAATTTTTTTATTCTCTCCTGAATTCAATCCATTTTATGTTTTATCATTTTCCTAAAGCATTATGTTTTCGGATGGAAATAGAGATTTTTCCATGTCTTCAATGGTTCTCAAACTGTCACTAGAGTAAACAGTAGGAGGAAGTCGGCGCGGGGGTTTAGACAAGGAGACTTAATTGAGAATATGTACCTTGGTTTAAAAAATATACAATTTAATTGCATATTTTTTAGTAGGCTTGAAAGACATTGACAATGCGTGTCATAATATTTTTGTTTGAGTGTTTTCTTGACTATCAAAGATGACTACCTAAATAAGCAAACTACTTTAATTCTTTTGTTGTCTCTAGTGCCTGGTCTGTAATTGGTGACTCAATATATTTGTCTTTTCATAATTTATTTGTAGCCAATATTTGATACAACATTGACTAAATTACCTCTTTTTCTTTGCGTGTTATTGCTAAAACATCGAGATCTTCCAAATGTATTCTTCACCCAGTCAATGATGGTGTTTTCAACACAACTTTTTTTTTTTTTTAAATCACCTAGTCAATAGCTATACCACATAACAGGAGATATAATAAGGTAAAAGGTTAAAGTAAGAGGATTGATTTCATTGCATCGGGTTTTATTCCATATGGCTAGGTCTCTTTTTCCGCAGAACCGCTTGCAGCCAGCCAAAAGCGTCACATAACTCACGAACTCAATAGCTCCGGCGACGAACCCCAGTGGCCTCTGTAAAAACTGCGCCGTAAACCGAACCCGCAGCCTCCAGAACATTGACCTCTTCGCCAGGAAGAGATATTATGCATCCAAGTGTCACTCGTTTCAGCTGCAAACTAATCATTGACATTTTGGAACCATTATCGTTTGCACTGCCTACTCACAGCCTTCATACATGCTTTTTTAATTTTCTTCTTTCTTTGCACTGCCCACTCAGAGCCTTCATTCATGGCTGTAATTTTCTTTTTTTGTTTGCACTGCGCACTCAGAGCCTTCATTCATGGCTGTAATTTTCTTCTTTGTTTGCACTGCCCACTCAGAGCCTTCATTCATGGCTGTAATTTTCTTTTTTTCTTTGCACTGCCCACTCAGAGCCTTCATTCATGGCTGTAATTTTCTTCTTTGTTTGCACTGCCCACTCAGAGCCTTCATTCATGGCTGTAATTTTCTTTTTTTGTTTGCACTGCCCACTCAGAGCCTTCATTCATGGCTGTAATTTTCTTCTTTGTTTGCACTGCCCACTCAGAGCCTTCATTCATGGCTGTAATTTTCTTTTTTTCTTTGCACTGCCCACTCAGAGCCTTCATTCATGGCTGTAATTTCTTCTTTGTTTGCACTGCCCACTCACAGCCTTCATTCATGGCTGTAATTATCTTTTTTGTTTGAACTGGTAATAAAAAAAAATAATAAAAGTTTATGTGGGTTCCTAGGCCCTATTATAGAAAAAATAAGAATAGAAGCACTGCCTACGCAGCGGCATGTCGTAAGAGTCGACTAATTGAGAGATCTTTGAAGTCGGAGTGCATCTGCCTGAGAGGCAAGGAACTAGAAGTCTGCATACAAATGAGTCAAATATGTAAAACGGATGCACACGCAACACTCAGGTTCTGGAACAGGACTGCAGTCCAAAAGTGGATGAACAACCAGATCGTTCAGCCAGTTTACAGCTGTTGGACGCGAAGAAGAAAAAGAAGAAGAAGAAGAAGAAGAAGAAGAAGAAGAAGAATTGGTGATGAAAAGGGATTGTTTTTCTAAACAATGGTCATATAATAGTAATATAATATAGTAAAATGTAATATAAGTATTGGTCAAGTTTCTACTCCTTATTGGGGGAAAAGGTGGGGGGGGACGGGGGGGGGGGGGTAACTGGGTGTCTAGTGCTTATCCCATATTGTGTTTAGAATTCTTAATGTCAAGCGTTGGTTAAATTAATTGACTAATTCCGGTGCCAATTGTGTGACCTCATCCAACTTACCCGGATAATAGCCTTGACCGCTGGGTGTGATCTGGCTGTATCCAGTCATGTAGGCTGGACTCAACACTTGGTTGCTGTGATTCTTGATCTTTGGAGCTACTGGAAATAGACAGAAAAAGGTTTTGTTAGTTTTTTTCCAAGATTTGAGTAGTTTGTTCTAATATTTGTGTGTGTGTTTATTTACCTGTATATTTCCCTACACTAAACTGTTGTCTAAAGGTATCACACCTCAGTGACTGAAACTTCAGTATAATAAGTTAGCTGGCTTTCCATTACAGGGCGTTGCAGAACCAGCCCCAGTATTTTTGATGCTGTCTGTGACAATTTTACAATCAGCAGTTTGTAATTGCCAACTGAAGGTCAGCTCTCGATACCACTGTCGAAACTAGCGCAAGGCTGCCTGCTGCCAGATCGCCTGCAACTGATATCGAACCCGGTACCACGGAAATACATAGCGCGTTCGCAACGCTTAAACCACAAACGCCGATAAACATCAATGTAAGGGCCATTTAAAGGCTATATGATTGACATTACTGCATCTGCTTTTATCCGATTTCGCCATGTCTCTTGTCGCAAAGCGGTTGTTCGCCAACGAAGACGCCATACAAAAATCGAAACTGTGGAGCCCCAGCAACGCTTCCCGCCCCCCCCCCCAACCCCCCTCTTTTAACAGCAGTAGCTCACTAAAACACATGCACTTAGACCCTAAAACAAGGAGCTTCATTAGCATCATTTCCAACCATAAAGAAAGAGCCACATTCCCAACCATAGAGAAAGAGCTATATTCCTAACAATAAAGAAAGAGCCACATTTCCAACCATAAAGAAAGAGCCACTTTCCCAGTCATAAAAAAGAACCACATTGCCAACCATAAAAAAAGAGCCACATTGCCAACCATAAAAAAAGAGCCACATTGCCAACCATAAAAAAAAGAGCCACATTGCCAACCATAAAAAAGAGCCACATTGCCAACCAAAAAGAAAGAGCCACATTGACAACCATTAAAAAAGAGCCACTTTGCCAACCATAAAAAAGAGCCACTTTGCCAACCTTAAAAAGAGCCACATTGACAACCATTAAAAAAGAGCCACTTTGTCAACCATAAAAAAGAGCCACTTTGCCAACCATAAAAAAGAGCCACATTGCCAACCATAAAAAAGAGCCACATTCCCAACCATAAAGAAAGAGCCACATTCGCAACCATAAAGAAAGAGCCACATTTCGGACGTCAAGCTAAAAGGGAACAAATCCCGTTTTACCGTATAAGTTTTTTCTGAGTCGCCCAACGGTTACACTAAGTATTACCTGGATGTACCCTATATTTATGGGTGTAGGACTGTGGGAGCATTGTGGCCTAGATTCTCCATCGCCTTTATTTATTAGTTTCACCAAAGCCTTTCTTCACACGGTTCCCGCCTTCCTCTCTATAACAATGGTAGCGGAAACAAAGCATGGCGTTGATGCATGTCATACCGATCTCCCCCATGACAAAGTTGACTAGACCAGCGCGGGATGGAGACAAGCTCAGTGCCGCCCGCTGGGACATTCTCATTTCCTGTGAGATGGAGAGATAGGTCGCCATGACGACTACAGCTCTACCTCACGCCGGGTGTATAAGGAGATACCATCTCCCGCGCAGAAGGTCCACCTCAGGTGTCATTTGTCAGAGTAGTGGTTGCTGAGCGGAAGCACCATGGGAAAGGCACGGAAGCCAGGTAGAACAACACACCGGCAGAGTGGAAGCTTGGACGCACCATATGCCTAATACTGGCTCAGCTGTGCTATGATACAGAGATACGACCGCATCAGGCGGCACCGCAAAGAGGCGGCATAAGCAGCGAAATCAAAATATATTTTGATCCGACTGCGCGAAGCTGTCTCTAATGGGTGACATTTGGAGGATTTACATTAACCTATGGTGCCATTTCAATGGGTTGAAATGAATTCTGTCCGTATTCCATAGTCGTGGATTTCTAGCTGTACGATAGACATGGCCAATGAGACACCTTTTTTTGGGGGGTGCCTAGTTGACCATGTATCTTAGTGCACTTGTATTCATGGCGAGGCGCAGACGCCGTCTGGAGGTGACAGGTTCAATTCCCAGCACGGTAACTATATCTTTTGATTTTTATGTTGTCTAGTGTGTTCTTCTATCTTTCTACTTCTTTCTATGAGTGCCGTTCACAATACTTTCTGTTACTTGATTAATTCATCATACTGAGACAATCTTCCTCACGAGACTGCTCAGCCGACACAAACAAGCACGAATTGTGAAGATAGAGCCAGTACTAGTTAGTGTTCCCCAGTCTAAACCTGTGGTCTCCAAGGTTTTTCAGGTGCCTCAACCCCACGCCCCCTTTTTTTGAGTTAATGACAAGACCCATAACCCCCCCCCCCCCCAACCCCATCATAATAACAAAATGTGATTGACAAAGAAAAATTCGAAGAACTTTGAAAAAGTCACGCACATAATTCAAAGTATCAAATAACAAAAGAAACACACACAAAAAAATCAATCACCAACAATTGGTAATTGAGTGTCCAGTTACCAATGTGATGGTTGACACTGTTTGGTCGTGATGATATCTGCTATGTCTAGTCTGATGTTGGAGAAGCACAACAGTGGAGATCACTCTCCACGTCAAGCTTGGCCCTGCTGATTTGTTATGACTATTTCGCTAAAATTCCGGATTATTCCAAGTGCAAATGCACTGAATTTCATTGACGTCCCACTTAAGACTTCCTCACGCCCTCTTTCCCTCCCCACCCCTCCCACTGAAGACTTCCTCACGCCCTCTTTCCCTCCCCACCCCTCCCTTATTATTCAGGTTGGAAACACTGGTCTAAACAAAGTTGAGATCAGGTTCTGGAGAGTCTATAAAATATTATTTTATACTTTGCAAAATGTGACGTGGTCTCGTGGGTTTCTGTCAGTTTAAACACGAAGATACACGTCGGGCACACCAGTCATACATAGTCAAATATAGACAAATTATATGTCAAGATCCCTTATGACAATTACCCGTTTCGTTACTGATATATCTAATTTCACACAAACACCCATGAATTAGCATGCATAATAATTAAAAACGGAAATGGCTTATCCTTTGGGGCAGAGTGATCTCTGTTCAGGAAGTATTTGTAAAATTTTAATGAATGAATTCACTGAAGAAGAAGAAAATAGACAACTATGACGAGGTAGCTCAATGGCACAGGGGGAGAGATACACACACAACAGGAAACAATCGAGTGTTTGGGCTAAAGATTGTATCCACAAGTGAGCACAAGAAGAAGCACGTGTAGACTGCAGTCACCCCTACACTCATCACTAGTGTAGAGATGTGCGGTCATACACCTGTAGACTGCAGTCACCCCTACACTCATCACTAGTGTAGAGATGTGCGGTCATACACCTGTAGACTGTGGTCACCCCTACACTCATCACTAGTGTAGAGATGTGCGGTCATACACCTGTAGACTGTGGTCACCCCTACACTCATCACTAGTGTAGAGATGTGCGGTCATACACCTGTAGACTGCGGTCACCCCTACACTCATCACTAGTGTAGAGATGTGCGGTCATACACCTGTAGACTGCGGTCACCCCTACACTCATCACTAGTGTAGTGTAGAGATGTGACGGTCATACACTCATGTAAAGACTGCGGTCATCACCCCTACACTCATCACTAGTGTAGAGATGTGAGGTCATACACCTGTAGACTGTGGTCACCCCTACACTCATCACTAGTGTAAAGATGTGCGGTCATACACCTGTAGACTGTGGTCACCCCTACACTCATCACTAGTGTAGAGATGTGCGGTCATACACCTGTAGACTGTGGTCACCCCTACACTCATCACTAGTGTAGAGATGTGCGGTCATACACCTGTAGACTGTGGTCACCCCTACACTCATCACTAGTGTAGAGATGTGCGGTCATACACCTGTAGACTGTGGTCACCCCTACACTCATCACTAGTGTAGAGATGTGCGGTCATACACCTGTAGACTGCAGTCACCCCTACACTCATCACTAGTGTAGTATGTGAGGTCATACACCTGTAGACTGCAGTCACCCCTACACTCATCACTAGTGTAGAGATGTGCGGTCATACACCTGTAGACTGTGGTCACCCCTACACTCATCACTAGTGTAGAGATGTGCGGTCATACACCTGTAGACTGTGGTCACCCCTACACTCATCACTAGTGTAGAGATGTGAGGTCATACACCTGTAGACTGCGGTCCCCTACACTCATCACTAGTGTAGAGATGTGGGTCATACACCTGTAGACTACACACCCCTACACTCATCACTAGTGTAGAGATGTGCGGTCATACACCTGTAGACTGTGGTCACCCCTACACTCATCACTAGTGTAGAGATGTGCGATACACCTGTAGACTGCGGTCACCCCTACACTCATCACTAGTGTAGAGATGTGAGGTCATACACCTGTAGACTGCGGTCATACACCTGTAGACTGTGGTCACCCCTACACTCATCACTAGTGTAGAGATGTGCGGTCATACACCTGTAGACTGCGGTCACCCCTACACTCATCACTAGGTAGAGATGTGAGGTCATACCCCTGTAGACTCACCCCTCACACTAGTGTAGAGATGTGCGGTCATACACCTGTAGACTGTAGACTGGTCACCCCTACACTCATCACTAGTGTAGAGATGTGAGGTCATACACCTGTAGACTGCGTCACCCCTACACTCATCACTAGTGTAGAGATGTGCGGTCATACACCTGTAGACTGCGGTCACCCCTACACTCATCACTAGTGTGTAGAGATGTAGTGCGGTCATACACCTGTAGACTGTGGACCGCGGTCACCCCTACACTCATCACTAGTGTAGAGATGTGCGGTCATACACCTGTAGACTGCGGTCACCCCTACACTCATCACTAGTGTAGAGATGTGCGGTCATACACCTGTAGACTGCAGTCACCCCTACACTCATCACTAGTGTAGAGATGTGCGGTCATACACCTGTAGACTGTGGTCACCCCTACACTCATCACTAGTGTAGAGATGTGCGGTCATACACCTGTAGACTGTGGTCACCCCTACACTCATCACT